GGGTTGGAGATCCAGAGCTAAGGATTTATTGTTGTCTTCATAAAGGTATAAAGCTTATACATTGTCTATTATTCAATTAGATCTCTCCTCTAGCTTGAATGTTGTGAGTTTTGGGGCCATTTCCTAGGCTATTACGAGATTTGAACTCTTGGGGATGTAGAGACTTCAGATATGGGTTCTACTGAGCTCTAGAGGCTCAAAGTTGCCACCTTTATGCAACCATAGTCTATGTAATGACTTAGATCTCTATTTCTAGCTTGAAATGAGTGTTTTGGTCTTATATCTTCATTCATACACGTAAAGTTAGCAACTTTACGTGTTAAGTTAGCCTTAGGAGCCCAGATCTATGAGTTAGAAGCATTGGGATCATTTATAATCGACTGTATAGTTTTAGTATGCAAGGAACTCGTCGAGTTGTTCTTATGAATCGGCGAGCCGGGTCGAGTTTCCCAAACCTTTTCTGGTTGTGAGTGGAACCACAGAGAGGGGGGGTGACTCAGTGAGTTGGACAAGATTAGGACTCGGGAGCTAAAGGACTCGACGAGTCCAAGGAGGGACTCAGCGAGTAGAGTCGAGATGTCTCGATTATTATTATTATAGAAAGAACTCGACGAGTCAGAAAAAGGACTCGACGAGTTGACTCAGTGGACCACGAGTTAGAACATTTCAGAGACTCGTCGAGTAGGAAGATGACTCGACGAGTTGAGTTGACCAGGGTTGACCTTGACTTGACTTTGACCATGTATTATTGTGTTTTGATAGCCGGAATTACGCCGAGGCAGTTACCGGATATTCCTCATCCAGAGTTACAACAGTCAGTCATGCGTGGTGAGTTTCCTTCCAGTAGGAACGGGTCTACGGCCACAATGCCGATCCGTTTAGATGATGGCAGTTCCGGGCTTCGGTCCGATGTCGGGCGGAGTCCCGAGAAGTAGTTATGTATGCTTGACGTCTCCGTGATTCATGCATGTTTATGTTATGTGTAAATATTCCGGACTCCGGTCCAATGCCGGGCAAGCCCGATCCAGTATATGGGATTATGTTATATGTTCATGTTTATGTTATGTTCAGTTTATTCCGGACTTCGGTCCGATGTCGGGCGAGGCCCAAGTTATTCCGGACTTCGGTCTAATGTCGGGCGGTGCCCGATGCAGTGGGCGGGGCCCAATTTATGTCGGACTTTGGTCCGATGCCGGGCGGGGCCCGATGCAGTGGGCAAGGCCCATTATTTGTTATATGTGTTATTGTATGGTATGTGGTAGTTTGGGGGAGCTCACTAAGCTTTGTGCTTACAGTTTCAGTTTTGGTTTCAGGTACCTCAGCTAGCAAGGGAAAGGGCTCGGGATGACGACATAGCACACACCACAATTTTCTTAGCCTGGGAGTTTACTCTGATATTTTATATGAGATTGTGATATGATGACAGATTTTATAGGATTTAAGATACATGTTTTATGATTTTATACTATGGCAATGATAATTATGTTTGTTAAATGATTTTGAAAACAAAATTTTGGGCTAGTATTTTTGGGATGTTGCAATACACCTTGGTGTTTTTGTGTTCTTGAGAGATGGAAAAGTTGACAGATAAGTCACCCTTACTACGACTCCTCGTTCAATACTTTCGAAGTTATTGGATCCTTTTCCACTTTCGAGATTCCCATCCCTTCTTCCACTCCGTCCCGAAGAGTAACTAGGACCAATTTAGTCACGTTTTCTTGTTCCAATTGAACATTTTTCGTTTTTTATTATTCTCTTTACTAAATATATTCGGATCCAATCACGATCTTATAATAATAAGACAAAATTGCAAAAATGGTCCCCGTAGTTTCTTATTTTATGTGGTTATGGTCCAAACGTTTGAAAAGTTGTAGATTTAGTCCTTTTCAACAAGTTTTATTGTGGTTTTGGTCCCTCATCCGTTAAGTTTAACTGGTTGGCTGTTAATTTTTTTAAAATTACAATTTTACCCTCAGGGACCATTTTCGCAGTTTTGTCTTTTACCATACCATAAGGACCATTTTTGCATACATTCTTTTTTATTTTATTGAAGTATTATATATTGATAAATATTATTTTTATTATATAATATTATATTAATAAATATTGTTTTATTTGATTATTAATTTTCTTATAGTTGATTTTTTTTAATTTTTTTTGTTAGAGTAATTCTTTTTATTGAGTTATTATATATCAATACATATAGTTTTTATATATAATATTTATATCATAATAATATCTTACTAGATTTATTAATTTCTTTTAGTTAATATTTTTAATTCTTTTTTTTTAAATTATTTTTATTGGATTATTTAATTTATTATTTTCTTCATATACTAAATATTGTTTTATTTGGATTATTAATTTATTTTAGTTAATTCTTAAAAAAAAACAATTGTCAAAGTAATTATTTTTATTGAATTATTATATATCAATAAATCTAGTTTTTAATATTAATATTTATATCATAATAAATATTATTTATTCATTATTATTATCTTTTAGTTAATTTTTGTAATTTCTTTTTTTTTACCCACTATTTTTCTTGGATTATTACTTTTAATTTATTATTTTCTTGTTAATTTTATTGATTCCACCACCACCAGTTCCATGTGATACGCAAAACCGTCGTCTCTCTCATCGAAATCGTTAGGATCGCTGCCAAACACTTTCATTTCATCTAGCTTATAATGAGAAACCATAGGGAAATACCACCACCACCTCGGTCACCCCCACCACTTATAAATGTTATAGGGGTTTGTTGCGCATTATGTGGGATATGAAGGATTTCAGTGGATTATGAAGAGGTTGTCGCAGGTGGCTACCACCAACGCTAGGTGGAATAGGTTAGGGTATCTATGTGAACCCTCCAATGAAGGTGTTTGGAGGGATCCTGCCAATTTTTGACGAGGATAAGCGACACTTTACGGATGTCGACGACTTGGTGGTGAAATTAATAAAATTAAAAACAATTAATATATACATTAAAAATAAAAGAATAAGCCAATAAAAATATATTTAGTATATTAAAAAAATAATAAATTAAAAGTAAATTTCAACAAATTAATATCAACAAAAAACAAATTACAAAATTAATAATCCAATAATGTATATTTATTATGAGTGTAAATATTATAGATTAAAAATAATATTTGTTGATATATAATAATCGAATAAAAAAAATTGCTCCAACAAAAAACAAATTATAAAAAGAATCAACGAAAAGAAATTAATAAGCATAAAATATGGTTTTTTATATAAATAATCGCATAATATATTATTTATTATGATATAAATGACTGATAGTAATAATTCAATAAAAAAGAATTATTTCGACAAAAAAATTAAAAAAAATATAATTACGAAAAGAAATTAATAATCCAATAAAACAACATTTAGTTATGAAGAAGAAGAATTAAAAGTAATAATACAATAAAAAATAATTAAAATTACAAAAATAACTAAAAAATTGATAACCAATAATATAATATTTATTATGATATAAAGTTATATATTAAAAACTATATGATATATAATAATTCAATAAAAAAGAATTACTCCAACAATTTTTTTTAAAAAAATCAACTAAAATAAATTAATAATCCAATAAAAAATAGTTATTAATATATAATATTATATATTAAAAATAATATCTTTTAATATATAATACTTCATTAAAATAAAAAAGAATGTATGCAAAAATGGTCCTTATAGTATAGTAAAAGACAAAACTGCGAAAATGGTCCCTGGGGTTAAAATTGTCATTTTAAGGAAGTTAACGGATGAGGGACTAAAACCACAACAAAACTTGTTGAAAAGGACCAAATCTGTAACTTTTCAAACGTTTGGACCGTAGCCACATAAAATGAGAAACCACAGGGACCATTTTTGCAGTTTTGTCTAATAATAACAAGAGATCTTTCTCGATCAATCCCCTTATCCAAGTAGCTTCGGTTATTGAATCCCGTGCAAGTTAAAAATCAATATATGATTTTCATGTATGTAAGTTCCAACCCTTTTTCTGGAACCAGAGAAAGGTTCTTATACTAGAGGGAAAAAAGTAGTTAAATGGAAGTTGTCTCCTTTTGGCGCCAAAAATCATTGGTTATTAAGACATAACCAACTCATGACATCATCATGATACCACCGCAAGGGCTCTGCCCCTTGGACCCCGCTAGGGGTGCTGCCCCTACACCTCGCTAAGGGACTGTAGCCCCTTGGAACCCTACACCCAGGTTCGACATATCCATTTATCACTCCGAGTTCACATTTATCACTCTGAGTGTACATCTCGCACTTCCTAGCTCGATTAGTAAACGGAGTTCAGCCTATCTCATTATTAATAATAATTACACAAAATATGTTAATAACACTAAAATCACCAACATCCAATTCCAATCCCAACCATCCCAAAGCAATTCCAATTTCAATCCAAACCGCCTTTCACAACTTCAACGGAATTCTTTCCGATTCCGCACACGAAGAACAACAACCTCAAAAAAGGGGGAAGACCGATCTGAGAAGATGAACTTAAAAAGAAGAAACTGAGTTAGCAAAGGCTTGGGTCGACATATCCGAAGATAGCGGCATGGGAAAGGGTCAATCACGTGATAAATTTTGGTTACGTATTACGTAGCGGTTTTGTAATGGAATGGGTCGAGATCCAGATTACCGGGCGTCCGGCGAATGTAACTCGAAATGGAATCTTGTAAACAAACTCATGACACATTGGAACGGAATTTACACAAACTTTGAAAAGCAATGGGCTAGCAGAGAAATTGAGGCAAGTTTGTTGAAAAAAACGCACGCTATATTCCAAGATAACATGCTAAAACTTTTTAAGTTTATTCATGTGTGAGAAGTTGTCGAAAGAAACATTAGGTGGAAGGAACTTGCAACACATAAAGAAATTGCTAATCTGCCAAAAAGAAGCTGAACATCTTCATATTCAAGTTCACAACAAGTGTCATCGGATGGTCACGTAGGTGTTAATCTTAACGATGATAATGACGCCATCAAAGAAATACGCCCGCCTCATCATCCCATGGGAAGGGACAAAACAAAAGCTCGAGCAAGAGGAAAAGGAAAAGCAACATCGTCAAATTCGTTAGTCGGAACGGAGCAGTAATCTACATCGGAGGAAATAATTGCACAAATGACACAATTGAATTCAACTTTGGAGAGACTTATGACTAAAATCGTCCAACTCACAGGATATTCGCTGTTAATGAAAGAAGTGAGACACGTCGACCCCGAAGATCAGGAGGCGGCTAAAGCGGTGAAGGAGTCGATTCACGAAAAATATAAGTTAAACAGCAAATGGAATTTCGATGTTAGGTTTGTTTTTTTCTATTTTTTTTTAAAATTTCACTTCATGTTTTATTTAGGTTTTTAATGTAATTTTTAAATTCAGGTAATTTTTTATTTTTAGGATTTCTAAAATGTAATTTTTAATTTTATGTTATTATTAATTTTAGTATGGTTTTTATTAAAAAAGTTTTTATTTTTTTATTTGAATTAAAAAAAATTATAAATAAATCAATTATCACACCTTAATTCGTAGGTAAACATTATAAAAATATAAAACTTAATTATTATATATATATATATTAAAGTTGTGGAAGAAAGGAATAGTAAACTTGGGATACTTTGTCCAAGTTTGGTCCCTTGATTTACATATCCGGTCCCTGTACTTTCTTTAATTAATTTATTCATGTCCTTTTGTTTGTGTTCCATTCAACTTTCCATTTTTTGGCAGAATTGGTCCCTGTATTATTGTTGGAAGTTAGGAATACTAAATTTGGATGTTTTTTGGCAACTTTGGTCATTATTCTTTACTCATTTTGACACTTTTGGTCCTTCCAATCAATATTTTTACACTTTTTTGGAACCTTTTAATATTTAAAGTTTGGCCACAAAACTTTAACGGTTTGACAACTTTGATCCCTTTTCTAAAAAGTTGCTAATTCCTACCCCTTTAATTCTTTAGCCATTTTCACACTTCTGGTCCTTGCAGTCAAAACTTTTACATTTTTTGTCCGGGGTAAAGCCCAGACTTTTCATCCTTGCACTTTCTATGTCTGTCATATTTATCAATTTGAAAACAACACTGAAAGCTTCTGGCCCTACATATCAGGGGTAAACTTTCTAGTTAATATTATCTCTAAATAGCATTTTACCATCCGCAAAAAAATAAAGATTGATAAAAGAACATGGAATCCAATGAGACGAGTTAGTACCTATACACAATTTCCAAGAAATTGAGACGCCCGATGCAACAAGTATTCTCCTTCCCTCTCAAAAAATTTGATAAACTTGAATCACTATGCACCACATGCAATTTATCATTGCAAAACGACACGGTAGATGTTAAAATATTTCTCTGTGAAAAGTGAAGTATATTTTAGTCGGTTGATTTCATAAACGATGAGGACTATTGGAATATATTATCACAGAAATTATTAAAATATGAGAAACACTTAAAGAGAAAAATGATTATATTTTATTAATTTATCGATAAATAATCACCAATTACGTAAATAATTATTATTGAATATCATTAATTTTACGAAAATACCTTTTCACAAACAGAGGTCTAGCAAACGTTTGCGCATCATTATTAGTTTTGCAAAATCGTTTTTAAAATTAAATATGCGCATGCTGATTTTTTAATTTTATTAAAATTTAGGTTTCATCAACTTGCCAAAATTTTGTTACATATTTGGCAATTCATGGAAATCAAAACACAAATTTTTCAAAGGGAATTTAATTCAATCGAAAACAATTTCATGATATAGATAGAATACATTTTTTTTTTTGATGAATGTGTGTGAGTCATGACCGGTCCTCATGAAGTATTGGTGTGTGACCGGGACATAATTCTAATCATGGTTAATCCATCACATAAACGTCGCTGATTTGTAATTTTAGAGGTCATCTTTATCTTCGAAAATCAACAAACCGACTTTATTAATTAACATTTTCTATTTTTGTTTTTTACTAATTCTGTTACTTTTTTTTTCCTAATAACCTAAGCCCAGCCTAAAACCCAAACAAAACAATATTAAGTCTAACCAAAATAACAGCTGATTTTTGTCCAAACAACACCAAAACATGATGTTTTCGGTCATAGACCGAGAATTCTAATATCTTATGAAAAACAAAGTATAAACCATAATTTATGACCTAACAATCTCCCCCTTGGTTTATAGCTTTTCTTTTCATTTAGAATAAACTATAATTTAGTCCTAACACAACAAGCTGTTCGTGAACCATTCGGCGGGAAATTTTTTTATTTTATAAATGAACAAACATGAATACAAATTGACATTCGTTTAGTTAAACGAACGGACATAAACAATGGTCTCTTTCGTTCAATTATGTTTGTGAATGTTCGTGTATGATTGTTCATTTAAGTTCCTTTTATGTTTATATATGTTCAATTGTATTTGATTACATTATTATATTATATGTTCATTTTTATGTATATATATGTTCAGTTATATTTATTTATCTACGTTTGTTTAACATGTTTACGAACATAAACGAATGTACATGAACAATGTGAATTTTTAAATGAGGGAACATGAACAAGAAAATTTGTTCGTTTATTCGTTCGTGTTCGTTTATTTGTGCGGCTAACTTAATCGAACAAACATGAACAATCAATTTTTTTTGTGTTCGTTCGGTTCGTTTACAACCCTATACATTAGACAACAAAGAATGTGTTTTTTATGTTTCAATTTTCTAGTTCCTTTGGTTTTGTTTTTGGACGACGAGGATAATTTTTTCGTATCAATTATGAATGTATTATTATTAATTAACCATACAAAATCATTTAAATATCATTATAATACGTTATTTATTTTTTATAATTCGCCAACCATTTAATATTCTTCAAAGTTCATACACATAATTCTCTATTATAATGTTATTTATTTTTTATTATTCCTCAACCATTTAATCTCTTTTTATTTTATTGGGGGCATATTAGATTTATCACATAATAGAGTATGGTCAAAAATCGTACTCTAACTCTTACATTTCATAACGCCATACCACATATAATACAACTATATCATATCTATAATACAACTATTTAAAACCGTACACAAAAACATTTAATCGATTTATGGAATATACACACTAAACCAACAAAAGTACACATTGTTAACAGATGCATCCATTTCATTGATGAGACAAGATGAAAAATATATTCAAAAACATGAATAAATCAAGAAAGTATTTTGTATAACTTGCTCAAGATGCATAATTCTAACATAATTCTAACACCAAGTCAATAGAAGTTCTTTTAGCTTTTGAGTCAAAACACTTCTAAAGAATATGTCTAGAAATAGAGATAAGAAGTTTATATCATTATAATTTGTCAATTAACAAGACAAAATAAAACAAAAATGTCAAGGTGCAAATTTATATAACATTTATCTTCTTTATTATAACACACTAAGGTTGTGTACTTGTGTTTGTTACTTGGTACAGGACTAATAGACTAGATACTTTTTTTTAGTTTTTTTTTCATGAGAACAAGGGCATTTGCATCATTTTTACAGACGAAAAATTGAGATTATGTATTGAAGACGAAAATACCTTATCTTTGGTACGATTGTCGAAAAAGGCTCTAACCCTCGCCATTTATGAACACATTAAGGGGGTGTTTGACTTATCTTTTGAGAGCCCAAAAATTCTTTTTGAAAAAAGATAAAATGCAAAAGATGTTTGGTAAAAGTATTTTAAAAGCAACTTTTGGGTTTTTTATACAAGGAAAACTGACTTTTTGGAAAAGTCAGGAAATCCTAATATTTTGTAACTTTTGCCAAAAGGACTTTTGCCTCCCAAAAAGATTAGCCAAACACCCCCTAAGCTTTCTCAAACCACTTGTACCTGGATCACGATTATACTATTAATAATCTGATCATGTAATTTACTTAAGCACGTGTTTATTTATGAACTAATAATATAAATGTAATTAGTTATCTATTTCATATATGAATAATTATTGTTTTAGAAAAGCTATCTCATGATCAGATTGAGTGTAACAGAGAACTAACATCAAAATATACATCAAATTTACATCCAAATGGAAAATCATGTGCCGATTGTACACTCTCAAACACCTATGAAATGAAGTAAAAAAATAGTACAAAGTTAAAATAACAATGACAGATAATTTTTGGGATTCAACAAAAAATACACACGAGAGATAAATTGTCATTTTGTAACGGGATAACAGGGACAACAGAGCGTGTGTAACACCTGGAATCTTGAGGATCAATTGTTGGGAATAAATCCCATTTGAGGTTTGAACACGGCGTGTTGGCGGAACCAACACAACGTGTCTAGTTAAGGAAAATCGCGGTTCTCATTAATGTCAACACGGCGTGTTGGTGTTTAAGCACGGTGTGTTGGAAGCTAGGAAGGAAACCCTAATTTTTAGGGTGTTGCACCCTATATAATGACCTTAAATCCTCATGGCTGGCCTCCTTACCAGCCTACATTGCTACTAAAACCCTAAAATCGATCCCTAAGTCTCATGGTGGTGTTCTTGAGCTAGTAAGAAGTTCTTGGTGCTCATTTTGGCCTTTGTGATGGAAGAGGAGATCTTGAAGTTGTCTTGCTTGGTAGATTGGCTTTGGATCAAGAATCATCTCCTTTTGTACAAGCTTTCTAATGTATCAAGTTTGAACCTTGACTTATAGATGTTTAGAACTCCTCATATTGTGCTTTGTTATGCTTTTGGTCCCTTTTTCGGTTGATGAGAGAGTGAAGTCGTTTTAAGGGCTTGTTATTCCAGATCTGAGTTTGTATTGGACTCCTTGAGCATAAAGGTGCAAACTTTATGAGAAATTTGGTTTCATGCATACATTAAGTCACTTATTAAGTGCCTTTTAAGCTTAAGAGCTTCATTTAGGCATGCATAAACGCAAAGTTGGCAACTTTATGTGGTTTTCCAGCAAAAGGAAGCCAGATCTATGTTTTGAGGTTATGTCTTCAAGGATTTAGTGCTTATTGGTTAAGATTAAGCTTTATTGATTGAGTTTTGAACCTTTTTGGGTAATCCCAAGGGATAAAGTTGGAAACTTTATCCTTCTGGACCATGTTATGGGCTAGATCTGAGCTTTAGAGCTCTTGGAATCGGAGAAAGTAACTTAATGTATTAAGTTGTTGGAATTCAAGCAAACACAACGTGTTTGCATGTCAACACGGTGTGTTGGCTGGGGTTTTCCTGACTGTTTGGATGATGGCGAAGCACGAGGTGTTGACAAATCAACACAACGTGTTTAGTCAACATGGCTATTGACTTTGACTTTGACCAGAAGTTTGACCAGGGTTGACCACGGGATATGTGGGGCCATGTTTGGGCCTTGGTTGATTATTTAGCTTTTGGGCCTTTAAGATT